CGGCTGCTAAGCATGGGTCAAGATAGTGCCGTATGAATGAACTAAAGCCCGTGACTGATTTGCTTAGACCTTGAGCTAGGCATTTGTATGCATAAGTTCGTGAACCGAAATTAAATGCCAAAAGTTGAACTGAAAGGTCATCTGCCATTTGCACACAGTGGTATGCTTGCGAACAATCAAGTTTGGTAAACAAGCTCTTTCCTGCGAAGTGGTTTGATGCATCTGTCATGTTTGAGATCGGAAAGTTGCTGTTGATATAGTCATTCTTCAGTGAATGATTTATTCTTCTGAGGTCAATCAACATCCGTAATTTACCAGATGGTTTTCGATGTGCAAACAATGGACTGCTATATTTTGAATGTGACAATGTTGTTATAAGTCCATAATAGTGCATTAGGGCAAGTTCCACTGTCAATTCTTGTCGCAAATGTATCGGCGTAGGTGGGCCTTGTGTGTACAAAGGTCGTGTGTGTTCCGGTTTCAGTTTGATTTTGAGGTCGGAATTGTAACCAACATCAAATCTATGTTTGGCGAAGATGTCCGAAAATTCAACAAGCAAATCTTCTACTTTTGACCTTTGGTCATGTGTCAATACCGAGTTCTCCCACTTAAAATTCTTGATAAATGTCAATCGATCTTGAAAGTTCATTTTTGGTTCAATTTTTTCAAGACCTTGAAAATGAAGAATTTGGTCGTAAATGTCACGTTGAATTTGTGGAAGTAATACAGGGTTTTGACATGTTTCAGGAGTAGGAAACCAAAATTTTTCATACTCAGGTTGACGTTGCTGTTGAGACTGCTGATTATCACAATGTTGCTGAATTAGCTCGTTAATGCCCATTTCAATATCGTCTGGATTATTCATTTTTGCAAAAGCAAGCATTTCTGCATCAATTGGTATTAGATTTTCTGCTTCAGTTAGAGTCAGAATTGAAAATTTTCCAATTTCGGTTTTGAAAGGCAATGTAACATGATGATCAGTGATGTTAAAGGCTGTGATGTATAGCAGGTTATTTGTCAGAACTTCACTAATTGAGGAAGTGAATGCAATTTCGCAATTTTCTTCAAATTCTTTCGATGGCATTACGATTCCGGTTGTTTTTGCCATGTCCCGGCATGCGTCCTTTAAATGACATTCCACCAGAATGGTTTGATGCGGAGCTATTGTTTGACGTTTTGTTAGAATTAACGGGAATTTTTTCACTCGATTAATTCTTCTAGGCTCGTTTGGAGGTTTTATTTCGTTGATTTGCAGAGTCAAATCTGGGAAATGAAGTAAATTATACTTGGCACAGATATGAATGTGGTGTTTTTTGTAGAAAGGGTTTCCTAGAATTATTGAGTTGGCTGCATGTAGAACGAGAAAAGATTCTACAAATGTCATGTCTGCCAATTTAAATTCCAGTGTTACTTCTGTTTCAATTGGCACGAGTTGTCCTCCTGCCATTCTTACTCTCTTAAGTTTTGATTCACTTATTTTAAGAGGGCGGTATAAAGATTTTTCATCTTTTAAGTCGTCAAATGTCTGTTTTGAGATGACATTTGCGCAGGCTCCTGTATCAACCAGGGCTCTTCTTTGTAATCCCGATGAGAATCGTAATTTTGTGTACGTCAAAACTGTTCCTTCCGCAGGAATTACTGCGTAAAGGTTGATTATCTCATCAGGTGGAATTGACGGTTTTGATGATTTAGATGATTGAAATGATTTGGGGGACTGACTCGGTGGCTTGATTAGTTTTTTGGCTGATTCTGAAACGGAAATGATTGACCGTGTCCTTGTGGTTTTTGTCTCCACCAGCATTGGCTTGCCGTATGGTTGAATTTACCACAAATGTCACAGAATTTGGCTGATGCTCGAACCATTGGTTCGAAAGATCCAGATGGAAGTTGAATGTCAGCTTGCGCTGTCTGAGTTCCATTGAATTGATGTTGTTGTGGTTGCAGGTAGTTCGCGTTTTGCTGTACCTGTGCTGGTTGAATCTGCACCATCGACTGATTTTGCTGCATATTTGGGTACTGTTGGTATTGATACCATGGTGGATATTGCTGAGGTGCAATTGGTCCCATATTTTGGAAATTAGTCTGATTATTGTTAAATCCAAAATGATTTTGCCAGTTAGATCTGTTTTTTCCTTTCCTGCCACTTTGCTGCTGTCCAGGCCAATTATTTTGGTTTTGGTTACCACTGTACTGACTGTTTTGGTTTGTTCTTGTTTTGATGAGAAGGCGGATTCAATTGTTTCTTTGACTGCTCAGTTATTTGTGATCTCATTTCGTTGATCTGCTTCTCAATTTGTTCCTGATTTGTGGACAATTTTGTGAGAGCACTGATCAAATTTTCTGAGACTCTGTCGTTTACTTCATTAAATCCGTCTTCTGGGTAGTCTTCGTTTCGGCAAACTTCTCGGATCATGATCTGCTTCTTCGTCAAATTACACAATTCTTGGACAGTAGTTGCTTGTGGTTGCTCCATCAATTTTGATCGCAGCCAGTTTGGCATTCCTTTTATGAACAATCGTTTAATTTGTTCATTGCGATTGTCATTTACTGCATCTATTCTTTCTTGTCGTTGTGCAGTTTCTCGGTGAAATCGCGCTGTGTCTGCTACTAATGGTGCTCCGTTTAATGCAACATCAATTGGGTCGACAGCTGGCAAATCTGGGGTTGGGTACGCTCGTTGCGCTTTATTTGTCAAGTTCACCAAGAAGTTCTCGGGTGAATCGATTTTAGGATCGTAACGTAGCTGTTCTAATTTCAGTACATGGATTTCTTGAAGCTGGGGATTGCAGAAATGATCCCTTAGGGCGCCAAGACTATTCTCTACGTTCGCTCGAATTGCTGCTGGCAGCGTTTGGTAGAATCGTAGTGCCGCTTCTCGTAGGTGTAGTTGCAAGAAGTTCGCTTGCTGACCAGGAGCGATTCCCGCAACTCCGATGTATCCTCGGAACAATTGCTCGAATTGCTGGAAGTCTTCTTTGTCCGTTCCACCGTATGGTGCGACCGAAATTTGCGCGTGTGCCATCTTATTACAGTTGAATGATTATCAGATTTGTGATACAGTTAATGATTGAGCACAGCACTTAGTCGATTTAAGGGGGGCACAAGAAAATTTTGCTAGACTTTCCTTATTTTGGATTATTGAACCTTTATGCATCTATTGCTATTCTGATTTTGGTTATTCTTTCCATCAGGGTTTGCTAATATTTCCGTTACTTCGCTTTTTTTGGTTGGGGAACTTATTAGTTACAATATCAATTTACTGCAAGTGAGTTTTGAGTTTGTTTTTAACTAACTGTTTTGACGTTGGAAACCTTTCATCTACTTCCTTTTCTGCCTCTTCAGTAGCTCACTTGACATACCATCTGACAGAAGTAGAGAAGCTGTAGGTCACAATCCACATGTCTGCTTGTAGATTGGAAAAAGTTGTCAGCTCAGGAGATGTTGAAAAGTTGTGGTTGTCTTCTTTTTTCTCCCTGTCTGTCAGTTGTTCACTGAGTTTTGCTCTGCTGCCAACATCTGAGCATTGCTGTGCTGATCAAGATGTTTTTTTTTTTTTTTTTGTTCTGCTTCAGCAAAGTAGTGTTGTCACTTTCTGCTCAAATTATGATGTTTGGAATCGCCGATGACTGTTTTGAATCCAGAAGTTGAAATTCCCGCGAAAGTCACCATATAATATTCCGTATCTGGCGGATGGATAATACGGGTATACTGTCGTCTACTGTTATGCGAGCTGTTCAATTGGTAATGTTATTTAGCACTACTGGCTATCAATTGTATTTAGATTGGATTCATTATTTAGATATGTCTCGAGCGGTAAAGACCTATCTTGCTTTAAAGGATGCTGGTTCCGATTCCTAGCTTCTGATATTTCGCAAGTCGATCGGCGCAAGTAAGAGCATGATTGGTATAGTTTATTAAGTTGATCTCTATTCAATTGATTCGTAGCTCGGTTTAAATCTCCAATGATTGGTATTAATTACCATCAATGTTTACATAGTTAAATAAATATATGATGCAGCTCTATTTTAACATCAAGGTGAATTATGTAATCTATTCGGTTCAGATGGTTAATTAGAATGAATGACATCATGAAGGGATGATGTCACAATACTTGATTTTTTTTCAGCTTGAATTCAGTTGAAAAAACTTGCGACTCGAATTATAAATTCTTCACTGCTACTTTGTGGTCAATCTTCGAGACAATTTTGGGAGCTCGCAAGTCATCCAACGAAGTCATTGCCGGGTAAAAAGCACAGTACCGCAAGGTAACCAACCTTTTAAATGTTTAGGGCGAAAACACGTTCATCGTTGAAAACATGAGTCTGCTCTCCATTATACGTGACTCTGCAGAGCAAAAAAATCATCGACCTTGAACTTTTACAAATATATTTCAGAAACCGAATCACGACTAAAACGGCTTTCAAAAGATTCCACACTTAATCCTTTAAAATTTTTCTCTGTCGTATCTAAAACTGAGCGCAAAAATGTACCCTACACTAATTCCATTCCTCTCTTTCGAGAGTGGAAAGAACAGCAACATTTTTTTATCCGCTGTCATATTTTTTTTTAGATTCACAGCTTGATATTTTCATTCCTTAATCACTTTGTCTAGATAACAACATTGACAAAAATAACGATTTCATTGAGCCAATTAAAACTAATGGGAAACCAACAAAAATAACATCAACCCATAAAAATAACGCTGGACAAAAATTGGCCTTGTCCCAAGAAATGAGATAAAACTAAACGTTGAGAGCGTTTCGACATTTCGGGGATAAATTAATTTAGAAAAAACAGATCAATGACTTTTTAAATGTCATTACATTGACCTCTACCTCAAGGACGGACTTTTCCAGCAGGGGAGAGCAATGTAAAAAAAAAATTGATAGTGCAAACGCCGAAAAAAATGTGGGACGTATATGCTTTCCTTTTGCATGGACACACTTAAATGAGCTTCTAAAAGACGTCTTTGGGAGTGAAAACTTGGACTGAAAACTTACATAGTCATCTTCACTGGATCCAAGATCTGAAACGAAAAAATATCAAGTTATGACTCTTTAATCTTTTTTTCGATTCAAAATTTCAAATGCTGTACCTTTGCTGCTCTCTTTAATTTCTTCGTCAGTTTCGAAGTATCTGAAATCATCAATCACTTCGATAGTAAATTGTATTATCAACCCGTTTAGTATCCAAGAAACTTATAGCCGAGGTTATGATGGGAAAAGACCAAAAAAAGCATAAAAATCAGTTTGAAACTATGTAATCTCGAAAAAAAATTTCTGTGCAAGGACTTATTTTTTCGGCTCTTTCCAGTTTCCCACTCCCCTTGTAAAAATTCAAAATAAAGTTGTTCGAAAATTGTTCACACGGCTTTTTTCATGTTAGAAATGTTGTGAAAATTTGTTCACCTGTTCACGCTGACACGTTGTAATGCAGTTTATAACATGAAAAGTCATTTTAAATAAGTTTTTATATACTAAGTTTCCGAAAAAATCAGGAAGGCGGGGGGCGGGGAACTGGAAGAGCCATTTTTTCTTCTTTGCCGTTATTTCTTTGCTACCAAAAAATTTCACCTTTCACTTTCTTAAGGTTTAGAGCGAGCATTTTCGAACCTCAATCTTTTGAGAAAATCATTCACGACTAATTGCGTGCTCAAGTCCGTCCACTTCTGTCCTAGTTTTCTCAACTCGGCCAATATCAGCAGGAGCTCTTCGCCTTCTTGATAATTGAGATCGAAGTAAAATAGGAATCTGGGTTCTTCAATAAACCCGCAATGCCCGAATAAAAGATCTAAAATAGCCAAATGATATTATGAACCCCAAAGTTTTCTAATAAAATTCACTAATGAATTACCGTTTACGCATATTGATGGCTCCGGGCAAATTGAACGATATCGGCATCCTAAAACATTACATTATAGAACTTATACTCTTGTAACAAAAAACAATGTTATACTTCAATAAAAACTTCCCGGAACAATAAATGCATGAGTAGTTTCACGATACGTAGAGCAATGTATATGACAGTCAAGGAAAACGAATATTACACGACAGGCTAATAAATAGCTGCTTTGAAAAATTATTCATAGCAATTAAGCAGGATCCCAAATAAACTTCTGCCATAGCATTTAGTTTAATCTTCAGCAATTTAAAACAAAAAAAAACTATTTTTACAAAAAAAAAACGAAGTTCTCAAAAAAAAGTGTCATAGAGTAGCTTAAATATAGCTAATAGAAATTATTTAGACCACTTAAGATTTCCGACCTTATTGAACAAAATTTAAACAACATAAATCCATAACATAGTATGTACACTGAAGAAGTGCATTAATGATTAAAGTATTTCAAGATTACTTCATGTGCAATAGGCTGGAAACTCACCATAAATGTCAACTATTGAAGATGTTGATGTGCCAACTACCACTTGCTGTGCCGAAAGAGCAAAGAAGACGACTTTCCAGTATGACCAAATCATAGCCTCATTATTACTTGATGAGGCTTTCTAAACTGAAGACCACATTGCGTAATAAAATCTATTTTAGCGAAAATACAGTAGAGCATGAATGAACTATTTTTGTTTGAAAATTTCAAATGAATCGAATATTTGTTTTTCAGTTTTAAAGGAGAGAAAACTGCGAAAGAAAAATCGATAAAAAAAGAGGAAAAAAAAGATAGTTGATGTTTTTGCCTTCTGATTTCTACATTTTGAAAGAGAAAAATCTATTTTTTTTTTCAAGAATATCTGCGAGTGAAGGCTTTTTTGCCCCCCCCCCCCCGCGAAAAAACCAAGTCACGAGTCAACAACAACTGACGGAATCTCAGCTACCAATTACTCATGAAGTGCTGATTGAAACGGAGACAAAGTTCAGAAATGCGCTAACAGCAAACATATCGATGGAAGAAACAAAACAAATCCACATAATCAATATTATTTCCCCATTCTCGAGAGAAATTGTAAAGTCAGCTGAAAATCTTACACAGGCATATCGAAGTTGTGCGTCCGATATACTGAAACAATTCCCCACAACAATGCAACAGAAGATGAAAATCTCAAAGACAATAACTGTGACAAAAGATGACCGAAAACTTCAAACACTGTCAGTTATTGCTCCCCCCGCAGCAGTGCAATTCATAGCTAGCATCAAAAGCGAAGGAATCTTTCTACTTAACAGGACAGTATTTCCTATGGGATGCTTTCCAAGGTCTGATAGACCCAAGAACATTTACCCTAAAGAAGCCAAAATAAAATTGTCGAATTTGCCTTCTGTATGCAACGATATCGAAGCGAAATTAATTCTCCAATTGCCAGAAGACAATTTATAGCCCTATATTCCAAGTGAGACCTGTATCGTAACTGAACCGGGTCAGTATGTTTACACAGAAAGAGCAATTTTAGAAGTTAAAATACAAAACAAAGAACTAGAGAAAAAGCCGACGGACTGGTCTTATAATTCAAGAATGGATGGCTTTAAAATGTGGGAAGGTGTAGAAATCTCGTTTCACATACCTTCATTTTATGAATGTCAAAAATGCAAGATGTCTGGACGCCAAGAAAAATGTCATCACGATGATTGGTGCAACTTGGTAAACCAAAAAACCAATAATACAAATATTCAGTCACCACAGAAACCAAGCTCCAAAAATGCCAGCGATGAAAAAAACGATGACGAAACAACAAGCGATAAGTTTTGTAATGGTAGCGAAAATGTCGAAGGACGCCAAGAAAAATGTCATCACGATGATTGGTGCAACTTGGGAAACAGAAAAAAAACCAATAATACAAATATTCACTCACCACAAAAACCAAGCTCCAAAAATGCCAGCGATGAAAAAGACGATGACGAAACAACAAGCGATAAGTTTTGTAATGGTAGCGAAAAGGTCGAAGGAAAAAATGTCGAAACATCACCATCTAGAGTTTTGGTTAACGAATCTAAAACAAACAGTGCAGCAACTCTAAGCGAAGAAAAACAAAAGGATGGGGTTTTCAACAATCAGGTGGTAGTTTTTTCATTCTTACTCTGCAAAAGAAAAAAAAAGAAAATTTGAATATCGAAAATAACAAACGGAACCTTTCCTCTGACGGAAGAATGCTTACGAAAAGAAAGCGTGAAATTTCACCAACCTCTTGGTCAGTTTTAACACGGAAGAAAGGGCCTGAAATGAAACCTAAAAATTAAGGAGAAGACTTGGTTGGAGGTAATTTTGAACAAAATTTCTATGTGAGAAAAACCAAATATTTTTTCCGTTTACATTTTTAGCATAGGAAATCCAGCCTTGCCCTTGTCAAAAAAAGACAAAGTACTAAAAAAGTTGCCCAGTTTTTTTTTGTGCATTCAGGAAGCAAAAACATCAAATATTACAAATCTACATCTGAGTTTACTGGATAAATATAACGTTTCATTTGATTTCATACCGGGCTCAAATAATTCTGGTGGGTTCTTAACGTTATTTTCATCAAACTTGAGTCCTGCAAAAAGAAATGCTTCAAGTACAAGTTCTTAAATTGTTAAAATTTGTCAAACTTGATTGGTTTGTTATCAACGTTTATGCAAACCCAAATTTCTTCCAAGCAACTTAGAATTGCCTGAATTTAAGCATCAGATTTTAACCTAATAAATAAAAAATTATCATGACGGGTGATTTTAATGCGCTGAGTTATGACAACATTAACAGTTCTTCAACACCTAAGTTAAAGGATGCACGTATCAAACAACTTACCCAACTCAAAGAACAAATTCTTGATTGTTTTGATTTTGTTGATTTCGCACTCAAGAAGGATTTTTTTGATTATGCACTTTATGACAAACAACATTAAAGTTTTGAGCGCATAGATTATGTTTTTATGAACTTCGGAACAGAGTATGACTTTATGCAAAGCACTCAATTATCAATCTCTGATCATTTGCTCTTACACGTTTTTGTTTAGCCATCTAACTTAGATCAGCGTGGCCCTAGTTACTGGAAATTAAATGAAAAAACTTTGAGAATTAACGCCAGCTTAGTTCGTGAAGAGCTAAAAATTTTTTGAAAATGAATCAAGAAGTAGTTACGAAAACATTAAGCATAATTTTCGTGACCTTCTGAAGTTATTTCGAGAGAAAAAAAAGCGTGCAGATCAGAAAGAACTTAATATATTGAAGTATCACGAAAATGCTATCAGAGACTGCATTTACAGCCGAAAAGGTCCGAACCCTAGTTTGATTGAAAATTATCATTTGGTGCTGGAACATTTTCAAAAAGTTCCCAAGGAAAATGATTTTTCATATTTTCGAAAAACTCTGAAAACTCTCAGCTATACTTTTAGGGGTGTGCCCAAGTTTTGTAGTCAATGGACCTCAAAGAACACAATTAAATCAATCAAGCGATATCAAGTGGATCAGAACGTTTATCATACGGATGAGGACATTCTTAAACAATTTCGAAAGTTTTTTTCAAATTTTTTTTTTCAAATGATTTTACAACAGACTCCGATCATTTACTAATAACGTTTTTATCAAACAATAAACTCGAAAAAAATTGAGAATGATGGCTATAATTACTTTACAGTAGATGAAATTCATTAGCTATAATCAAATTGAACTTAAAATATTTGCCTGGGACAGAGGGCTTTACATCTCGGCCCTATAAGACTTTCACGGATGAGTTTTTCAGTTTTATCTGAAGTTTTCAATCATTTTGTTCATGGTTGAAAACTCCCAAATAGTTTTCATTCAGCAATAATCAAACTGCTCCCGAAATCTGAAAATGCCATAGCAGTACAAGATTTTAACCCGATCAGTCTCATGAATACTGACGCGAAACTTTTTGCCCATGTTGTCTGTAATAGAATTAAAAAAAAACCTTTGCAAAATTCTAAAAAACCCTCAGCACGCGTATTTGCGTGAAAGACAAATGCACACAGCAATACGAAAGTTGAAAAAAGCGATTACTCTAGAACGATTGGCTAACCGAGGTTGATGTGCCGTAAAATTAGAATTTTCTAAAGCATTCGATAGAGTTGACAGATCACCTCTCGTCAAAATTTTGAAAGGGTTAAACCTTGATGAGTTTTCCATAAGAACTATTGAAACTTTGTATTTAGACTCAAAAACAGTAATTGAGATAAAAATATTTTTTAATCAGCCAGCTTCAAAAGTCATCGCCATGTGAGACAAGGTTGCCCTCTTTTCGCATTTTAGTCATAGTTTATGTCGAACCCCTTCTTCAATCAATTGAATCTACATAGGCAACTGAAGGTTTCAAGTTAATGTGCCCCAAACTAGTTTCATATCCAGTCGGCATAACTTGCCTGATCAAACTCCGATGTATTGACAGATTTTTTTGCTTAATCGATACATTTTGCAAAAAAACTTCAAATGACGATTAACATAAGTAAAAGTGAAGTGCTTTCTAAACCTGATTTATCACTCTAAAAATACTTGGTGCCTTATTTTACGATGCCAAAAAAAGTTGAAAATGTTGAATTATTGTTGACTCCTCAAATTCAAAAACATCGAAGGTTATTTGCACCTAGCAAATCTTTGAGGGCCAAAACATTAACACTGTCAGTTTGTGTTCTCCCTAAATTTTTTCATCTGGCTCGTCATACTACAGTTAACTTGGATACTGTTAGTAAACGCCAAGAATTATTAAATACAAAATTGAAAATTCCAAGCAGACTCGGCATAAGGAAAAAAGTTCTATATCACCCAATTTTAGATGTAGGGGTAAGCTTACCATGCCTACAACTCAAGGTTTTAAGTCTGAAAATAATCGATTTCTTTGCTTTCGATTTGTCAGATCGAAATAGTTTGTTACCAACAAAATTTATTTTACCGAAAGAAATCAAAATTTTGTTTAGAAACATGAACATCTCTATTGAAATAAGTTCGAGTGATAATGCAATATTTTCAAACGTTACAAATAGCCGTTTAATTATAACACTGCAGACAAAATTGCAAGACGTTTATTAATTCTGCTTAAAAAAACTGTAGTTTTTATCGAGCTGCAAGTTCCCGCTTGTATTTAGCTGCAAACCGCTATCTCTGTTCAGAAGAAGAATTGATTGAATTCACAGGCAAAGTTTGAAAAAAATCAATGTTTGATGAATGTGAAAAAACTTTCTTTATAACTTTGCGTACGCTGTTTAAATATCGAGAAAAGCCGTGTTTTTTATTTCTTGAGAATCCCCCCGAATGTTTCTATTGTAATTTAGAATGCGAAACATTCGAACACCAAATTTTCAGTTGTCCCTCGCTACAGCCTTCAACAAAAATATTACAGATTATTAATTGGCGTGACATTTTTGTATCAACGAACATTGCAAGGCTGAAGTAATTTATTGCGGTTATTCGTGGTGTATATTCAAAATCATCGACGTCATGGAAAATCAACTTGCAAACATTTGTGTCATGGGAGGTATGGAAGATACGAAATACAAAATGCTCGTTTTGATAAAAACTACCAAGGATATGCTAGACTTCAGCAACCAAAAAGGATACCCGGTAACCGGTAAAAATAATGTCAGTTGAACAAAAACTGCTAAGAAGTAGAAGGTAGATATTTCAAGC